CAGGGAATTAGTCCTCCACAGAGAGACCTGCAGGGAGTGTTATCCTTCCCCAAAACTTCACGGCTGCTCAGCTGAAGTAATTCAATACCTTCAAAGAAGAAACCACAAAGTATTCATACCATGTCTCGATGCTACTTTTAGGCCATGCTGATTTAATTAACCTCAGTAAGAAAAGGTTGAGTCAGCAGATACTGTCACAATGGCCTAGTATAGCCTAGTGTCAGAGTTTTTCACACGGTTCTGACTGGCCACAGTCTACGTAACCGTCTGCCCTTAGTCTCTTCCCTGTTTCCCCACACATACGTACACCTCTGCCAGTTGTAAGGAAGAACGACCACCCCACCCCCGGTGTTCACCCAGCCTGTCCCTCCACTTGCCTCACATCCCCCTCCTGCCACTGGCTGTTCACCTGGCCGTCTTTTTTTAAGAGAGAAACGGGGTGAAGGAAGAGACAGTGTTAAAACGTAATTTCATTTGGGCTCTTCATATCCTACCAAGATTATTCAGCTTCCTTTCGGTCCATGAACTGAGCGTGTCCAGCCTGTTAAGCATCTTTCTGAGCCAAGAAGTAGATTAAGAACTCTGAAACAGCCTTGGCATGTATCTGAAGGAAACACAATGCTCGGAATTATCTGAAAATTATCCTAAATTTTGTAAGATAGTCAACAGCACAGATTTGTACCTACTCAGCATACAAAAAGGCAAATTTTCCCAGAGAAATATGCAGTAATACTTATTCGAGAATTACAGACACAGGAAAGTACCTCAGAAACTCCAAAAAACCCACACACCTGTAACCATCACATGTATGAATGGAAGAAAAGAGTTTTAAATAACATTAAAACTTTAGCAAGAGCATGTAAGAACGTCCATGTTGTGGCCAACTGAGTTTCAGCAAAAGCTATCACCTGCAATAAGCGACTGAAAAAAGACAACCATGAATTTGATGTGCCCAGGCTGTGAAGGATGACCAGCAGATACTGATTTTGCACATTTGGGAACTCGTGATGTTGAAAAACAATAATTCTTGCTGTGGAAAGCGTATCACAAACTACAAAATGACACAAATCGTGACATAACAATCCTAGAGCCACCTTTTAGAAAGCTTAAAGTACCAAACATCTCAAAGAAAACAAATCCACCAAAACCAAACCCACCACTCTAGCATTCACCAGAATAGTCTTGTCTTTACTGAATACGAAAGACAACACAAGGAAAGGAGATGGAGTGACAGTGGTTTCAGCTGTAGATCACAGAATGGTTTGGGGCTGGAAGGTCATCTAGTCCCACCCCTTCCTGCAATGAGCAGGTCCATCTTCAACTAGATGAGGTTGCTCAGAGCCCCATCCAACCTGGCCTTCAGTGTTTTCAGGGATGGGGCATCCACCACACCTCTGGGCAACCTGTTCCAATGATTCACCACCCTCACCATAAAAAAATTCTTCCTTACATCTAGGCTAAATCTACCCTCTTTTAGTTTAAAACCATTACTTCTTGTCCTATCGCAACAGGCCCTGCTAAAAAGTCCCCCCCGATCTTATAAACCCCCTTTACTGGATGGTGCAATAAGGTCTCCCCGGAGCCTTCTCTTCTCCAGGCTGAACAAGCCCAACTCTCTCAGCCTGTCCCCATAGCAGAGTTGCTCCAGCCCTCTGAGCATCTTTGTGGCTTCCTCTGGACTTGCTCCAACCGGTCTATATCCCTCTGATGTTGAGGGCTCCACAGCTGGACGCAGTACTGCAGGTGGGGTCTCACCAGAGCAGAGTACAGGGGGAGAACCCCCTCCCTCGACCTGCTGGCCACACTTCTCTGGACAGAGCCCAGGGCACGGTTGGTGCAGCCCAAGATACAGTTGGCAACGGTTTCACAGTGCTCTTCACAGCTTTGCCCCAAGGCTTCCACAAGAGGTCACTTCTGGACCTCAAACTGGAGATCCAGAGGGGAATGATTTCAGAGTGTTTATTCCAGATGAACTTGAATGAAATCTCACTGAGCACAAACAAATGACATTTAAAAATTGACGGCACCAGCACTAGGACCGAGGAAGCTCGTTTTCCTCAGGGTTTGTGTCTTGTGATCAGGCTGCGGTTGAATTTTTTTTTTCCATGGTTAAGGCATTTATAAACATTTGCTGCCATGTGGATTCCCTTTTGCTTAGTAACACACGAGCACATGAATGCCTTTCTTTACGGGATGTCTCTCAGGCTTTTCTCTCCTCACCCAGCAGGGCGTATTTTCAACAAACTCTTTGGAGCATTTTTTTTTTTTCTCTTTAGAACTTAGCCATCTGTCAAATTCATTTAAATCATCTGCAGAATTCTAAATTTCTGGTGAGGCTGGGGAGAGAGGAGAGAAACAAAACACGTGTGTGCCAAGTAACTGCCAAAGTCCCGTTCCTTTAGTGACCTGACTACAAACAAGGACAATAAAAATCATTAATAAGAGAAGCACCAGGTAATCTAAGTATGGACACAGGTAAACATAACATAGTATTGTTTAAAATTATTAGAACTATCTACCTTCTTTGTAAGGTCATTAAAAATCAGTGACTTGGTATGACTTCCTTCTTAGGACGAAGACTTGCCTCAGTTATGACACGGGGACTGGCATGTTTGAAGTGTCCATACGAATAGATCCCGGAGAAATCCCAAGTGCTGACTGATGAAGGATATAATGATTTGGACCAAACTTAAAGTTATGATTTATTACCGTTGGTTAAGTCCCTCTGAATTCACCGACAAAGAAAATTCCAGAAATCATCCAGTGCCCCAAAGCAACACAGTTAAACTGCTGCAACATGGAGCTGTTCTTTGGGACTCAGAAAAATCCAAAGTCTCTGATTACCTTAAATTTGCCACTCCACAGGTTTTTCCCAGTCATAAACTACAAGCAAATCATCAAATACAAAGTAGCTATGACAATTACCACACCGACATGTAGGTAATTACCACACTGAGTAGGCAGAGCACCCACATAACACCATTTATGAAAATCAACATGAAAGTGTTACGAATTATGAATGTTTTAATAAATGAATATAAATAGGTCACTTATAACTTTATGATAATGGAATTAAAACACAACAGTATCAATAAACATAGATTCTTTTATATATAAAAGTGTTGTTTATTGTAAGGAAACTTTAAATATAACCAACAATATTGAAAATACCGTGACTGGCATTTATGGCCTTGATTGTAGTTTACTGCCGTACAAGTTATTTCTAGCATTTTTCTTAATCACATCAAGCTAGTGCAAAATATAGGTAGCTTTTAGAGATTAAGCATACAGAATGACAAGAGTGTAGATTCTGGTTACCTGATATTTCCTTCTAGTATAACAGGCTTCTCTTTTTTCCATAAATCAAAAAGTACAAAGGCAAGTTATCATATGTGCAATTATTTATACCAGGTTTCAAGGTAAAAAAAATTACATTTGTAAATTTTGCTCAGACTGTATTTTGTTAGGATTCTGACTTATAATTTACACCATACTGTATGATATAAATTATATATTGATATCAAATTATATAATCATAATTTCATATACAGGTATGATTATATAATTGTCAGACCATATCACTAACTATAGGATAGTAATTACATCAACATACACAAATACATGGCATTAGAAAAGTCATTATCTAAGAAGGAAAGTTGTTATAATTCAGGTGTTAGAACAGGGCACAAGCAGCCTCCCTACACTTGTAGTACCATTTTGGCAGAACTACTGCCAATCACCATTATGTGCACTAGCTTTCCACGTACGTCAACAGATAGGTCAGTAAGTAGTCTTAAAACTGGACTGTGCCTGAAATTTCCAGTCACAGACCCTTGTAAGTAATGAGCCCTGTGCTCCTAATTAAGATGACATTCTCTCTCCTCAGTCTCAGAAGGTAACCCATGCTTATTATGGCTAAAAAGGTATTTTATGATGACCTACAGGTTTTTGAAAGCAGGGCATGTTAGCTTTAACACTGACATACTTTCTAGACTTGTGCAAAGCTTCTGAAGTATTGACCTTTCAAATTAAAAATATTTTTTTATGCCCTGATAAGGATCTTTCAAGGACAGGCTTTCTTTAGCATGGCTTTCAATATCAATCACTTCAGTAATTGCATCTGGTCTTTGATAGCTGAGATTAGACTGCAAGAAGAGAGATATACAGAGATCATTTCATCTGAAATAGGTACAAGATTTCAGAGATAAAAAAGGTGAGATCTAAAAAAAAAAATAGCTAGAGAACAAGCATAGATAGAGAAGACAAAATGCATAAATACAGAACAGGGGAGAAGGAAAAGAATATAGGTTATGTATGATTAGAGAGAACATGACAATGACCTATGCCTTTGCTTTTAAAGCATTAAGGTTAATTTGCCAGCTGTCCTCACTCTAGACTGTACAGAGTACATGTAACTAATAAAAAAATGCAGTTTATTGCAAAATATACAAGTCCTCTAAATTGCATAAGATATTACAATGTCGTGCTGAAACATGACATATAAAACAAAGAGGACTTTAAAACAAATTACAAAAGGTTAAAAATCAGATTTGGGTCATGAGCGCTACACAAAATGCATCGTCATGCTTTATCTTATGATTAGTCTCGTGATTCACTACATCTGTGATAAATGCAACATAAAATCATGACAACTGTAATAGTCAGAAAGTAATATCTACTGTATATCTTCTGTATTAATACATATAAACACTTGGTGTGCACTAATACTTTCAACATATCACATTCAAACTAACAGTCTTTCCAGAAAAGTTGTAACCTTTTGAAGAACAGAAGCTGGTTTAACAAGTTCATCGCATGTGGGTTTTTTTAAATCTACTTTTTAAGGAAATGCTGTGGTAAAGGGCTTGATTTTCAAAGGTGCTGTGCTACTACAGGGCGTCTTAATGCCAGATGGAACCAAAGCTAAGCACTTTCAAAAATCAAGCCCACAATTTATTGAATTCCTGTTTTGTTTACTAGTATTTCCACTGTAACAACTCCCAAAAAATACCCCCAAACCCACTCTTAAAATGCTTGGCATCTATAGGAAGAGAGACAATTTCTCAGTGGACTAACCACTACTGTGCTATATTCTCATAACAGGTCTTGTTGCTCCAATGTTTAGTTCATGCACTGGGATCGGCAATGTCCATGTTTGTTCCAAACAGAGCAACTAGCTGCTCTTCATAGTTTGCAATGTTTCTTTTCAGAATTTCCATACAAGGTCCCAAAAGCCTTTCAAATGCCTGCACATCCATAACTAAGACAAAAGGAGAGAGAAAGAGAAAACATAACGTGCTCGTCAGTTGCAGACACTGATCTACTGAGGCATATACTTTGTTTTTACAGAAGAGAACCACTTACCAGAGCAAAACCAAGATGAACCAACACACTGCTGTCTTGAGACTTCATAAATAAACCTAGAACCTGCTGCATTTCTTTCTTTGAAAACATTTTCATATTAAGATTTGTGTCCCCCAAGAGCTGCTGACGAAGTCTGGAGGGAGCGATTCCTCCACAGAACACAGTTTTAAGACACTCGAGATTTCAAGAAAAACACATCATTTGCTGATGTTGTCAGCTGCACTTGGGGTCTAACTTAGCTTAATTCCTTGATATTTTTACTTGCTTCTACCACAGTGGAAATTGTAATAAATACTTATTTCCCAAGCAAGCGTACGAAAAGTTGGAGATAGTAATTTACGTGCAATGTCAATGTGTAGCTGACTAGAACATTTTCTTTACCTGGTCACATGATCTTATCCTCTATAGTTCTAGCCAATAGTCCAGGGAGGAAACTTCACGCTTCAACCAGCTTCTAACCTGGTGGCCTGAAGTCTCTTGGCTCTTGAGAAAAGTTCAAGATCTCTGCTATTTGGGAAGTGCCAGAGATCTTGGCAACTCACCCATCTGGAGCAATGACAACCTTCCTCACCGCTGCCTCTTATTCCTTCCTACCGCTTTCATCTTTATTGCCTGACCAACTCTCTGGTTTTGGAGATAAGGATTTAAAAAAAAAAAAAATAAAATAAAACCTTTATAAGTAAGTGAGAAACTTTTTGGTTACTGGCTTGGTAATCATTCAAGAATGCCAAATCTGTCTTTGCAGTTTAAGGTTTTCCCATAACTAGACAAAAATATTTGGGAGCTAAACACCAGGCCATGAAAAGCACTGGATGCAAGGGGTTGTCTATGAGCGCAACTCCTGTGGTCTTTGCTTTTCCTGTGCTTGAGGCTACAGTGTGACAGAACGATTAAATTAACAGCCGGCAAAGACAAAGGATTTGTTAAAGCTTAAGTCATGGTAATAAAACAGAACAGGATTTTTACCACAGTTATTTCTTGGATGAGGGGCCCTCTACTGAGAAGAAAATACCTCTCTGCAGAGTATTAGACATCTATCTGAGAGCTATACATGGTTTGCAGCAATACTCTCTGTACTGTCCTGAAACAATTTTTACTTCCACGAGATCAGAGAAACGTTGAAGAACGTTTTTAATACCAGTTATTAATTGCAAATAATTTTTGCAGATAAATAATGTAAATAGGAATGCACAGTAATAGTTGATGTGCTTGAACAGTCTTATTTGGGTAAATGTAATTAACTTATCTTCTGGAGAAAGACAGCATTCACAATAAGAACCAACCAGATAGATTACTGTCATGGTTTAGCATGATTACGTATAATTTTTTATTAGATATAAAATATTGTTGAACAATACCTAAACATTTGACAGTGCCGAGAGCAAATGCAGAAGCAGCTCGTGGTTTGTTAGTTACAAGAGCAAGTTCTCCAAAATACTGTCCTCTTGAGCATCGAGCTATTTCAACTGCTCCGTTCTCTTCTACATCTTGTTTACCCTGAAATATTGGGTAAAAAAAGAGAGAGAAAGGAAGAGAGAGAATGAGAGAGAGATTTGCTGAACTCAGGATTGTATAAGCAAAATTGGTAACAATGGTAGCATTGCTGTTTAATACTACCAAGATTAAAAAATTCTCTGGTTTAGGGACGTTTACCTTCCTTGTCATTATAATCCTTACTTCTCCAGATTCCACAATGAAGAAAGAGTCAGCCGAGTCACCCTGTAGAAGAAAAAAAAAAGTGAATAAAAGAAATGTGACGTTTCCTTTTTAGTTTCATGGTAACATTGAAATATTTGAAGCTAATGCCTTAATATTTGCAGCTAATGCCTCAAAACTCATTTTTTTTACCTATTGCACCTTTAATGTGATCACCATACTCTAGACACATAATCAAAACAGCTATAACAACTGACGGCAAGGCCTTTTCAGTGGAATGACATAGCTGACTGTGCCTTGTACAAAAAGCAGAGAAAAAAAAGCTTTGGAAGATTTTACTCCTGTTTCTCCACCTTTGTGTTCCTTCCAAGGAATAATCTCCCTTACAGAGTTTCCAGTATAAAAAGCCTCCAAGGGCTATCTGACATCCAGTAATTATTTTGGGCAAGACAACCTCAGTTGCCTACCCTGAGGAGTCTACTTGCGCTTCCTTCTCCAAAAGATTATCATATTTTAACAACAAAACCAAGGTAAGTGTTCAGTGCTCCTTTTCAGAAGTAATAATTCTTTTAGAGTTTCAATTTCCTGGTATACCAAAAATGTTGACTCCTTTATTCATACCAACAAAGAGGGATGTTTTTCAAAGTAGCATAAGTGAAAAATTAGCTTCTGAAGCAACATAATCATCTCTCTTAGATACAAGAATCATTGGGTTTGTTTTGTCTGAGAAAGAAAAACAGAGTTTAAAAGTAGGTATTGTCTATAGATAACATGGTAATTGTCACCTACTGGAAAAGAAAAACTAAAACCAGAAATAAACCGCACCTGAGCAATGATTTGTTCTCCATCTTTGTACACCTTGGTGCCAATCACATCAACCACTTTTAAACGCTCGGATACCTTAATTTAAAAAAAGAAAACGTAAGAAATATTTTGTTAACGTTACAAGATTATATTTAGAAAGCCCTTTCGTATTTCTTTTCATGAACCTTTGCACAGAATAGTGTATCTTTGTTTTCCTGTTTTGATAATCATAAAAAAGGAAGAACTGCTCAATAGTGTTGCAGAGGGTATATTATCGTCTCAACAGCCAGATGTTTTGACAGAGCTTCCATTTTTGTAAAAGTCTGTATATCCCAAGTCTTCAAAAACTATTTTCAGAAAAACATGCATGTAAAAATATAGCTGTTAAATGAAAATATTTTGAAATTCCTTCAGTCATTGTTTAATTTTGTTTGCTAATGTCTAGTAAAATTAATCTTAAAGAAATGAAAGCAAAAGTAAAAAAATAGTGGGTTTTTTAATACAATATTTACAATAGTTCTTTATCCTGAAAATTTAAAAATATATATACGAAAAAGTCTTTCTCCAAAACAAAGGCATGCAAAATTTTATTGTGAGACAATTTGATTCCAAATGTAAGACCTGCAGAAGCAGAATCTTATCAGGTACCACTGATACAGCCATTACAATAATGCAATAGAAATCTTACTTCTAAAGATTTAAGGAATGGCAATGACTCAATAAAATTTTCATACATTCTTCTCTTTTTGGCATTATTTTTTACAATGATTCTTCGAAAAGTTACCCTGTCCTGTAAACACAAAGAGAGAAAGAGAGTTTATTAACAGAAAATAATGTGTGTGGTAGAAAATACATTAGAAATGGCTGAGTATGTTCAAATTACCCCATTTTAGTTTTCATTAATTTTAGCCATAAAACTAGCTGGCTAGTCTCTCTATAGTCAGTTGAGAAAAATTCCTCTAGAGGTCAATCAAGAGCTCCTGAAGTTAAGTTGATCTGATTCAGGTCGTGGAAAGCTTCTCTGCCCTTCTGCAGAGTTTACACACAGAGTGCAGAGAGTTTACCTTAAACAGGTGGGCTACATAATGAACGCTGAGTGGGTTA